ACAGGAAGGCCTGGCGCAATATGGTTCATGGGGTCACAAAGGGTCGGACACGACTTAACGACTGAACAACAACAACAAATACCAGATCGGTCGTTGCCCAGGTCAACAAGGATCATGCTAGGTGTTCTAGTTCCTGGACATCTGATGACAAGTGGGCTACAGGACTCAGGATTGTTGGCTGAGCAACCAGGGCCAACAGCTGCAGGACTACTGGAAGAAAAGTTGTTTACCCATCACAAATATACAAAGACTGAAAACAAAGAAATAATGATCTGCTATTTATTACATATCAAGTGCAACAAGAAGAGGATGACTGAAAAGAATGCACCAGTTCTGGAAAAAACAGCATCCAGAATCAGAAAGAACTGAACAGAAGCTAGCAGATCAATGTCGATGTATAATACAAAAAGTATTCACAGAGGTAGAATTGGAATAACTGCAAAGGTCTACCCAGGGCAAAGAAATTGAAGCCTTGCCAGAAGTAGCTCACACTGTAGAGGCAAACCAGGGGGACTGGCAGTAGAGGAAGCCAGCATAGCTATTAAATCATTTTCATTCCCAAACCAGGCACCTTCTCCTCTGCCTTCTCCTCAGAAAAAACAAAGCCCTCTAACTAAAAAACAAAGGAATTGAAACGAAGAATAACTGAGCATCCAGAACAGTACAAAAAGAACAGAATAAGGTTGTCTGCATTGAAGCTTGTTACAGAGAAACAGCTAGCACAATTATTAAAAGATGCCAATACTGTAATATCAAATATAAGCACCAGCTCACTGCAAGAAACAAACCAACTGATCTGCATTGAAGCTTGTTACAGAGAAACAGCTAGCACAATTATTAAAAGATGCCAATACTGTAATATCAAATATAAGCACCAGCTCACTGCAAGAAACAAACCAACTGATGTACGGCAGGACTGCAGTTATAACTGAGTACCTTGGATGCAAAATCAAAAAGAAGAAAAAAAGTGCACCAACAAAATGGAAAATCAGGTTGGAAAATAAGATCAGCATGCTAAGATCAGATGCAAGCAAGCT